TATGATTGCTTTGTGTTTTGTCGCTTTGATTAGTTATCGAATCAATTTCGGAGCCAACACTGACAGGAATTTTAGCCAGATGTTCTAGGGCTGTTTGAGAAGTTAGTTAACCTTTTTGGATATGTTATCTTAAATTGATCGTGATCATCATCATCATCATCACATATGTTATTTCGACACCAATTTCTTGAATTCAAAGGTGTTTGAGTTTAATTAAAAACCAGTTTTGTCGTAAGAATAATCAGTCGCTCCGCTAAAGATGAGTTCGTTTCTGTCGATAGCCGTACCCACTCTAAAATGAGCTGGGATTTGAACAGAAAATGTTCTTTGAAGATGGTTAAAAATCGGACCCGCTCTAAAATGAGCTGGGCGTTTCATCGTCGTCGCCTTCTTTGCCTTCGTTTCACAGCCATTGGATTTTCTATGCTTCTGAAGGCGTCATAAAAGTCCTTGGCAAGTTCGCGCACGCCATTTGCTGTGGGGTGAAGACCATCTGCGCAAACATGCCTCCGATAGCTGAACTTTACAGTTTTAAAGAGCGGGATTTTATACCATGCCGTTAGATTTCTGTAGCATTTATTCACTCTCCTGATAAGAGAGCGTTTACCTTCCCGGCTAATAAGTGACATGACGCCAACTTCGAAATTGCAGTCAAGGAGTCTAAAAATAGCACTCTCCATCTCCTCGGCTACTTCAGTCGCTCCCAATGACTGGCGCCCTGAACGGTCAAACAGGTTGTTTGTTCCTCCCATTATGAGCACTGTTTGTACATCCAAGTTTTTCATATCATTGAGAACCTGATCGCTACAAAGGGTTGAGAGAGTTCCACCAGGGCACGAAACTGTCACGGAATCTGGCAGAAAAATCCCATAAACTAGCGATGATCCCAAAACAGCATATGTCACTCTCTTGATCTTATCAGAGCTCAATATTATCCGTCTTTTGGGGAGAAACCTGGTTTCAACATGAACATTTCTTAGACGCAAGGTTTCGTTTAGCTTTTGAATTCCAACTTTTCTAGTTTCAGTCATTTTAGCAACCTTTAACTGAAACAAGTCTCATAGTAATACTGGTTAAACAAATACGTTTTCAACTGTTTACGAAATTCAGTTTCATTTGGTAGCTTAAGGTTACATGGTAAACTATTCCAATGGTGTGCGGCAGCAAACCTAAACGTCCTTTTTCCATAGTTCGTGTTAACCAGTGGTTTCTTAATGACCATGGTCCTTTCACTGAAACGGGAGGAACTTTTTTGTAGTGAAAAATATTTACTCAGATAAGACGGAACGATTTGAGGATTGAAAATGCATTTGTGTACGATTGTCAAGACTTTAAAAATCACTCGAGATTTTATGGGCAACCAATGTAGATCATGTAGATAAGGAGTAATACTCGTTGACTTCTTCAAACCGAAAACAAATCTGCAGGCACTATTTTGGACTTTTTGCAACTTGTAGAGCAGATAATTTGGTAAGCTCGAGTACAAGCTATTGCAGTAGTCTAATCGACTTAAGACTAGCATTCTTGCCAACATATTTCTATTTTCAAAATCAAGGTAGAAACGTATGCTGTATAGTTTCCGGAGACTGTGGTAACTGGCGCCACACACGGAATCGATCTGTTTTTTCAATGACAAGGATCGGTCAATGAGGCAACCTAAAGACTTCACAGAGTTTTCTGTTGATTTCATCAGCTTAACCGTTGAATTTCCAATGAGTAGTGAACTGTTTGTTAGACCTTTTGACTTACTAGTGGCTAGGTTAATTACTTGGCTTTTTGATTCATTTAACATAAGCCCCATGGACGAAAACCAGTTCGAAATAATAACCAGAGATCTTTCTATTTCTGCTAATTCACTCTCATTTTTGATTTCACAGTATAAAGTAGTATCATCGGCATACACTTGGTATGAAAATTTAGTTGAGCCAATAATATCGTTCAATGGTGTCAGGTAGATTGAGAACAGGAGGGGTCCCAGAAGAGAACCTTGAGGCACTCCAAATTCGAGTTCTTGAGAATTCGATAAAACATCATTGATAGCAACAATTTGAGTCCGATTCTCTAGATAGGAAAGAATTAGATCCACTGCATCATTCGTCATTCCAATCCGATTTTTCATGATCTTTCTCAATGTTTTATGATCAATGGTATCAAATGCAGCTGAAAGGTCAAGGGCTATCAAAATGACCTGTCTCTTGTTGTCGAGACTAGTCAGTAGATCATCTGTAGTTTTTAGCAGAGCCGTTTCAGTTGAAAAATGCTTCCTGTAAGCAGATTGGTGTTCATCTAGAAGATTATAGGAGCTAAGGTATTGATCGAGCTGTTTATATAAAATTCTTTCAAAAACTTTACTGATAAACATCAGATTCGCTATTGGTCTATAAGAATTTAAAACGTTTTGGTCAAGTTTGTGGTCTTTTAAGAGAGGAGGTATCACCGCTCTCTTGAGACATTTTGGAAATTTGGACTGATCGATGCAATTGTTTATCATAATGATGAAATAATCTTTCCACGAGTGTGCTATTCTTTTCATATCTATCGTTTTCAGTATATCTTCTCGTGAGTTCGCGTTTGAAACCATTCTTACTGCTTCTTCTAGTTCATCTATAGTCACATATTGGAATTGGAAAGAAGAAACTGCAGGGAAAGCAAAGAGTGGCGGCGAGATGCCATTACTTTTAACATTTGCCACTAAATTTCTAACCTTCTGAATGAAAAATTGGTTGAAGTTTTCAGCTAATTCATAATCACTGGAGTATATCAGTGGTAGAACGTTTTGTTGTTTTTCTCCAGCAAGGCGTTTCAATTCACGAAATTTGAGCGAATGGCTATTTGAAAGCTCAAAGCGCCTGGAAAAATATATCAATTTCTTCGCTCTAAACAGATCTTTACATTTCTTTAAATACTCCTTGAAAGCTGTTTCGTTTTCTAATCCAGGATTTACACGCATTACGCGTTCTAATTTTCTACGTTTTCGTTTTACGTCTGCTAACTCTTTATCGTAAAAATTACAAAATCGGTTTTTGACAACTTTGGTCTTAGTTGGCACATAATCAGTTTTCAGCAGCTGCAAAATTTCGATAAAATTCTCTGCCATCTCGTTCGGGTCACTGGTGTTCAGATTCAAGATTAAATTCTGATCTATTTCCGTCTCTAAATGTTTCCAGTGTGTATTGTTCCAATCATAATTAGTCAATCTGGTTTTATCCTTCCGTTGAATTGCGATTTCATAAGTGAACGTCAATAGATGGTGATCAGAGTATTCAACGTGCTCATTTCTAACGGGTGAACACAATTCCGGGTTTGAACAAATTATGAGGTCTAGAATTTTCCCGTATTCGTGAGTTGCTTTCTTAACAATCTGTTCTAGGTTATATTCCAGTAGAATCGAACAAAATGTATTGGATTTGGCACAACGTCTGTTTTCTAGATCCAAATTAAAATCACCCAGGAGGAGAATTTGGGTTTCAATTGATGAGGCAAGAATATTTTCAGTCAATTCATTAAAAAACTCGTTATAATTTCCACTCGGCGGTCTATATATTGCTGCAATTGTTATTTTGACTTTTCTAGTCACGACCGTAATTACCAAGAATTCACCATTGTCCGAGAGATGGCTCAAAATTCTTTCACCCTGTAGTTCTTCGCGAGAAATTATGGCAACACCTCCACCTATTTTAGCCGTTCGTGAAACATGATGATATCGATATTCATTTGAAGAGTCTATACTGATTTAGAATATATTCCGTATCCGGCTTAAGCCAGGTTTCAGTAATGATCAAGATATCAACTTGTTCTATAGCCAATATGCTCTGTATTTGATTTACTTTTTTCGCTAGAGAACGTATATTAATTACACCAACTTTCATAGCATTCGATTGAGACTCGGGTTTTTTGTTTGATTTTAGTCAGTCGCTTTTCAAAGTTCTGAGCCAGGTTCTGGCTTCTGCATCAAGATAGTACCTGTTTATTACAACATTTTCCGGCCAAGAATTAGGTTGATCAATGATTGTTGCATGTTCGCCGTCAAATACACAGTGGAAACTTTTGTGGCGAGAATTTTCCTTTGTTATTTCCCTGATATGATTCAGAGGAAATCCTTTACTTTGACACCATGCGACTATATCACTTTCATCATTTGTCTGTTTTATTCTTCCAACATAGAGATGGCGTCGTGGTGGTGGCTTCTCTACACCTTTGAGTGCTTCTGTTACCACTTCTCCCGTAATTAGTGGTTTCTTTGGTCTGCGGTCATTTCTATCTTTGGAGCCTTTTCGCTTCGTAACCCTCGAGCTACCAGCTTCTGAGGATACACTTTCACGAGCATTTCTGATGAATGCCGAAGAATTCAGATTAAACTTCGCTGCCCCAGCATAATTGGTTTTGTTCTTTTCAATTATACTAGTTGGTTCACGATATTGCTTCAGCGATAGCAGCTCAGACTTTAATTCGTGTACATCTTGCGCCATAGTCTTTATTGAGAACAGTTCTTGTCGCAGTTCATCAATAACTCGGAAAAGATCTCTTTTACAGGTTCCACAATCTGGGCAACTCCATTCAATGTGCCCAACCACCTTATCGGCAGTGTTGAGGCCAATACACGCAGAGTGGGCAGAAGCTTGACAACCGACGCATTTCACCGATTGATTGGTTAAAGCGTTTTGACATACTGTACAGTGGAGAGACGACATATTTCAATTGTCTTGCTGGGAATTATTGGTCGTTTCCGCTCTAAAATGAGCTGGATTTTGGTAGATTTGTTTAAAGATATTTCCAAATTCTCTTTGTCATTCCCGCTCTAAAATGAGCTGGATAACATCCGGGAATTTGTTCGTGTCTTTTCTGGCTGTCGTAACCACTCTCAAATGAGCTGGTTTATCTTCTTTATCTGATTCTGTTTGTGTCAATTTCGATTTCCATCAACCGGATCTCTAAAATCCCTTCGTAGACAAGGGCTACCCAAGATAAGATGTTTATCCGGTTCGTCGAGACATATCTATCTATTTAATAAGTTTATCACAACAATTAGGCTAATGCGACGGAAAATCATGCGACGGAATTGATGCGACGGAAAATCATGTTTGGGCTAGGATTCATTTTAAAGCTTAGTCGATTTTATTTGAAGCAATTCGGTTGCTTTTTCAAAACAAATTGTGACTGTTTATATTGCGAAAGGAAACGTACAAGATACGAGCCAAGTTGACAACGTGAGACTTTAATTTACTTCAGGTAGCAAGATATAGACATACTTTCAAAATTTTTAAATAAAATATTTGCCAGTAGAAAGTTGTGTCTGTTATCGCGCTCAGACAATGAGGCTAATTCAGCCGAAAGTTTTCAATTGATTCAGTTACCGACATTTCACTCCAATTCGAGAGGGCGGTGAAATTTAAGTATTTAAAATATCGAAATCTGATGAAAAAAAATGTTTTGTTATCGTCTGAGACAAACTAAGCTGTAGATACCGTATTTTTTCTGGATAGTTTTTTAAAGCTTGTTTTCAATGTCCGGTTTTGTCGCCATTTTTTGTTGTAAATTTATTTTTACTTTCTCATTTTCCAAAGATTTAATTTGCCAACTCAGTTTCGTTTTTGCACGAGCAATTGTAAACAAGTTTTTTTTATAAGAGTTTCCTTTCAGTTATTTGTTACAGTCATAAATTAATAAATTCTAAGTAAGTCAAATATAATTGATGAATAATAAATGAGTTAAATTCTAGTTCATAAAGATCTTGTAGTAAAAGTTTCTACTAATTCTGAAGTTCGTCTGACTTCCTTTGTTTGCCTCTGAGTTTTGGCAAATGGCCCAAAATTTTTGTAATGAAGTTGATGAACGTTGTAAAATAAAAAGTAACGTTATGGCGTTCTAAAATAAAAAGAATGACCGGTAAAATGGTAATCTTAGAAGCGGTGCGTAAGCTTGTATTTGTATTTAACCCTAAAAGTGTTTCATCTTACGTTATACCATTTTTCAGTGCCCAGAAGTAACAAAGTTAGAGCTCAAAAAATAAGGATGGTTTTGTTTTTCTGATTTTTAAATGCGTCGTTACAATTGTTCGGAAATTTGTGTTTCAGATTCGCAGAACGTAGTTCGAACTCTTAAATAGGTTGTAATGATTTTTAAAGATGTCGACGCAGGACTTCGATTCAAATTTTTGCGGTTTGACTTTTGATTTCTTTTTTAGTTAAGTTCATTTCCTGTTTTGAAAGGGAGGCAAACTCCACTATCAAAAGTTAAGATCATTTCCTGTTTTGAAAGGGAGGCAAACTCCACTATTGAACAGCGAAAGTGTAAAGGTCATGAAAAACGTGATTGACTTCTAATTTCAAAAAATTTAATTTGATTATGAGAGTTTCCAGCGAATTAAAAGAGTAACCTATTGGTCCAGTTTTTTCAAACTGATTTATTTTTATCAAAAAACTGTCAATCATTAATTGTTCTAGAAATTCAGTTTAGAAATTAGGTCATCTTTTTTTTCTCGAAAAATCGAATTTTGATATATTTTCTAAAAATTCAGTATTATTTTGTTTACTTGCGTTTGTTGACTCCTTTCCAGCGGTCTGTTGGCTATGTTTAATTTTGTTTTTATGCAAAGTTGATATTCATTTAACAAGGATCTCAACCAGGTTTTCTTCTGTTTTGCGTTTTCATAAATGACCTACTTGACTCATGAGTTTTTTTCTGATTATTTCATTTTTGCTGATGATCTTAAAATCTTAGCTGTAAACGAAAATAAATGGCAAGAGCAGAAAGATCAAGGTGAAATACAGAACTGGGTTAAGTTAAATAAAATGGAACTACCAATTATCAAATGAGCCAAAGTATTTTTTAGAAGAGCAGTCCCCTGCTACAAACTGATGGGCGCGAAACTAAAAGAACTGTCTTGGAAAAACCATCTTGAGTAACGTTTAAGGAAAGCTGATAAAGTCTTCTACATGCTCAGAAGAAATATAATATTAGGCTTAATTTTTTTTATCAAATTTTGTCTTTGAAAATATTTTGTACTGCCAGTCTTTTTATACGATGTTTCATGCTTATCTGCGTCGAGAACAAACCATCTTTCTGAACTTTTCGAAAGAAAGCGTTCGAATGGATAGAAGAACAAAAAAGTTGAATATGTCAATGAATTGCGAATCCTCAACATTCTTCCATGACCAAATGGTGTTTCTCCAAATGAACGATATCTTGCTCATTTCAAAATTTATAAGAAGGAAGCGATTGTATCATATCACCGAATGAACAAATTTCGTCTCCAGAACGAATGAAACTTTTTATCTACCACACACGAGGACAAAAAAGGCTAGAATGGAGTTTACTTTTAGATCATACAGATTCATAAACCAAATCAAGAAATACGTTGACATTCTTATGAACACACTGAAAAAAAAAGATGATGGAACTAATGTGGAAATTTGTTAACGAAAAATTTTCAATAACAAACGGCTGCACCTGGAAAATCTTTTGCGATTGTAACAAAACTCGGTTTCTTGGATGAATACTTCAGAACTCGGTCATATGGTCATATTCAAAGTAAGCTGAAGTTTTTCTTGTTATCCATCGTGTTTGCGTGATATATTACAATAGGTGGCATGTTAAGTTTCTCTTTACGAAACAAAAATTCTTCTAGCGGAAAGCAAACTCGGACATCTGGTTCTTCAGGCAAGTGTGTTATGTACCACCCAATCTGCAAGAAAAGTTAAATTATCAACCAGCGTAGTTTGCTGCTCACAATAGTAACTTGCTGCTCACAATCTTAGTCACTAAGTGGAGTAATATTGTTGAAATTGGAGCGTGAACAAATAATGACCTTGAAGTGGATACTAAATTCTGACTGCGATGACAAAGAGACTACTTGAACTCGATTTTTAACCCTTAAGCCTTTGTCGAAATGCACGGTCTTCTTTTGTATTTATCCCTGATTGAAATCAAGAATGTCGTATCCATGAAAGTTCAAACCTGTAGCTCTGAGAAAACCTCCCAGCACAGTAGAGGCGCATACTTAGTCAGCAATGAGAGACTCATCAAAACCGATAAAAATTGTTTTCATAGAACAAAAATATTATACACTGTCATCAAACATAACGAAATGCACGGAAACCAATTTGACAACGAGTTGATTGGCTTTTTAATTGGCATTACTTTTTGCCACCAATTGTAATATATCAACCGTTTTTAATCCAACTGTTATCAAAGCAGGAAGGAATTCAAATTTTGTTCCATATGTATTGCTTGCTCAAAATCAGATAAACCAAATAAATCGCTTCTATTTGAATTACGTATTAATTTTAAGCATTTTCAGGTGCAATTGAAATGCATAAAAAAAGATAACGACGAACAATTTATAATCAGCTATTCGTAGAGTCTTACATGCACTATCACGCCAAAATTTTGTTTATAACAAAGAGCCGGTCGGAGTTCCATGCTATCATTTTTTTTCGACCACGTCATGAAAAGACTGGAAGAAAATACGGCGTAGGGCGGGGTTCTCCGGGCACTTTTGACTACCTCGAGAAAAATTCTCACGAGGGCAAGTTCGGTATCATTTGAAAGCTCTTTCAGCTGTGATGTTAAAAAAAGTTGTGGCAGTGTGAAAAATTTGTCTGAATTATCCGTTTTCAAAATAAATAAGATTGTACAAGAATTTGCAGTCATATTTTAACTATAAGTACGTTTTAGAGAAGCAAGGGTGTTGCGAACGAGTACTAGGCCTTTTTCACGTAATTAAGTGTGCTCACAGAAATCGTATGTGAAAACGTTACACCTTTTCTACTTGCTTTGTTAAACGTTCAAATTCAAAGTTTTCAAATTCAAACATTTTCTGCATTCGGAGAATTGGTAACTCCCATGCTTGAGACGACAAAGCCTGGGACTAGATTTTTTTACAAATACGTTTTCAACTGTTTACGAAATTCAGTTTCATTTGGTAGTTTAAGGTTACATGGTAAACTATTCCAATGGTGTGCGGCAGCAAACCTAAACGTCCTTTTTCCATAGTTCGTGTTAACCAGTGGTTTCTTAATGACCATGGTCCTTTCACTGAAACGGGAGGAACTTTTTTGTAGTGAAAAATATTTACTCAGATAAGACGGAACGATTTGAGGATTGAAAATGCATTTGTGTACGATTGTCAAGACTTTAAAAATCACTCGAGATTTTATGGGCAACCAATGTAGATAAGGAGTAATACTCGTTGACTTCTTCAAACCGAAAACAAATCTGCAGGCACTATTTTGGACTTTTTGCAACTTGTAGAGCAGATAATTTGGTAAGCTCGAGTACAAGCTATTGCAGTAGTCTAATCGACTTAAGACTAGCATTCTTGCCAACATATTTCTATTTTCAAAATCAAGGTAGAAACGTATGCTGTATAGTTTCCGGAGACTGTGGTAACTGGCGCCACACACGGAATCGATCTGTTTTTTCAATGACAAGGATCGGTCAATGAGGCAACCTAAAGACTTCACAGAGTTTTCTGTTGATTTCATCAGCTTAACCGTTGAATTTCCAATGAGTAGTGAACTGTTTGTTAGACCTTTTGACTTACTAGTGGCTAGGTTAATTACTTGGCTTTTTGATTCATTTAACATAAGCCCCATGGACGAAAACCAGTTCGAAATAATAACCAGAGATCTTTCTATTTCTGCTAATTCACTCTCATTTTTGATTTCACAGTATAAAGTAGTATCATCGGCATACACTTGGTATGAAAATTTAGTTGAGCCAATAATATCGTTCAATGGTGTCAGGTAGATTGAGAACAGGAGGGGTCCCAGAAGAGAACCTTGAGGCACTCCAAATTCGAGTTCTTGAGAATTCGATAAAACATCATTGATAGCAACAATTTGAGTCCGATTCTCTAGATAGGAAAGAATTAGATCCACTGCATCATTCGTCATTCCAATCCGATTTTTCATGATCTTTCTCAATGTTTTATGATCAATGGTATCAAATGCAGCTGAAAGGTCAAGGGCTATCAAAATGACCTGTCTCTTGTTGTCGAGACTAGTCAGTAGATCATCTGTAGTT